TGTAAAACAAATCTGTCATTTTTGTGTTTAAAAATTTCCAAAAGTGCTTCTCAAACTTTTTTTTTTAAGACAGAGTTGCTCTGTCATCCAGGTTGGAGTAGAGTGGTACAATCAGAGCTCACTGCAGCCTCGACATCCCAGGCTCAGGTGATCCTCCCGCATCAGCCTCCCTTGTAGCTGGGACTACAGGTGCATACCACCATGCTCAGCTAACTTTGTGCTGGGATTACAGGTGTGAGACAACACACCTGGCTGTAAAACAAATTTCTCTCATCTGTTTTATGTCTGTCTGTCTATCTATCTATCTATCTATCTATCTATCTATCTATCTATCATCTATCTATTTATCTATCTATCATCCATCTATCTATCATCTATTGATCTATCTATCATCCATCTATCTATCATCTATCTATTGATCTATCTATCTATCTATCTATCTATCTATCTGTCTGTCTGTCTGTCTAGTTATTGAGACAGGGTCTCACTTTGTCATTGAAAGATAAGCTGCTCTATCTATCCACAGATAGATAGGGCAGTCTATTTATCTATCAATCTATTGATTGATCTACCTACCTATCTACCTACTTACTTATTTACTTATTGCGACAGGGTCTCACTTTGTCATCCCAGCTGCCCTCCTATCTATCTATCTATCTACCTACCTACCTACCTACCTACCTACCTACCTACCTTCCTACTTATTGAGACAGGGTCTCACTTTGTCATCCCAGCTGGCAGGCATTGGCATGATCAGGGCTTACTCCAGCTTCTACTTCCTGGGCTCAAGCAATCCTCTGGCCCAAGCCCCCCAAGTAGCTGGGACTACAGGGATGCAGCACCATGCCTGGCTTTTTTTTTTTTTTTTGAGTTTTCATAGAGACAAGGTCTTGTTATGTTGCACAGGCTGGTCTTGAACTCCTGATGTCAGGTGACCCACCTGCCTCAGCCTCCCAAAATGCTGGATTATAGGCATGAGCCACCATGCCTGGCCAATTCCTCTGTTTAAAACTTTCCAGAAGTGCTTCTCGAAATTTAAAGTGCTGGTGGGCATGGTGGCTCATGCCTGTAATCCCAGCACTTTGGGAGGCCGAGGCAGGCAGATCACCTGAGGTCAGGAGTTCAAGACCAGCCTAGCCAATATGGTGAAACCCCATCTCTACTAAAAATACAAAAATTAGCTGGGTGTGGTGGTGCATACCTGTATAGTCCCAGCTACTTGGGAGCTTGAGGCAGGAGAATGGCTTGAACCCAGGAGACAGAGGTTGCAGTGAGCTAAGATCGTGCCACTGTACTCCAGCTTGGGCAACAGAATAAGACTGTCTCAAAAAACAAAAAACAGAAAAGAAAATTAAAGCGCATACAAATTACTTGGGGATCTTGCTAAAATGAAGATTCTGATTTAGCAGGTCTGGGACAGGGCTTGAGATTCTGCATTATTAACAAGTTCACAGGCCATGCTGAGGCTGTGGGCCCAGAGACTACCTTTGAGTAGTAAGGGCCTACAAGGCCTTGTATGATCTGGTCCCTTGTTATTTATGCTTTCCCACTACTCCTTCCCTTCCACGTGCTCTGGCCATTCTCAGCTTGCTTATCCTCAAATAAGTCAGGTATAGTCCTGCCTCAGGGCCTTTGAGCTTGCTGATTCTTTTGACTAGAACACTTTCCCCTAGCCATGGGAACTGTCTGCTTCCTCACCACCTTTTCCACTCACGTTCCTATGCTTTTTCTCCAGAGCACTTACCACCTTCCCTTCTAATATTCTATATAATTTTGTTTTTTAGATGGAGCCTTGCCCTGTCTCCTAGGCTGGAGTGCAGTGGCGCAATCTCAGCTCCCTCCAACCTCTGCCTCCCATGTTCAAGTGATTCTCCTGTCTCAGCCTCCTGGGTAGCTGGGACTACAAGGCACATACCAACACAGCCAGCTAATTTTTGTATTTTTAGTAGACATGGGGTTTCACCATGTTGGCCAGGCTGGTCTCGAACATCTGACCTCAGGTGATCCGCCCACCTCAGCCTCCCAAAATGCTGGGATTGCAGGTGTGAGCCACCACTCTTGGCCCTATAATTGTTTTATTATTGTCTACTGCCTCCACCAGAATGTAGGCTCCACGAAGGCAGGGATTTTTGTCTTGCTGGAAAAGAAGGCCCGGCAAATAGTAGGCACTCAATACATACTTTAAGGAATGATTACTGGTATCCACTAGGTAAACCATGAATAAGAAGTATGTTAACTTGATAGCTGTTGTGAAAAGAGTCAAAATAACATTCATGAATCTAGGAGAGGGGTCCTCAGAAGAGCAGGGCTGGCACCAAGCATAATGCCTGAAACACAACAGACATAAACATTTTATTTCCTCTTTGCCTTCCCATCCATTCCTAAAAGTTATTTGTACCTTGGCCTGATGCTGAGGCTTTATATATGACCACACAGTCAGTGAGCCATCTATTTCCTACATTCATCCTGTCCTAGTACAAATATGTCTATTCAGAGAGTTTGGAACCTGGAGTAATCAAAACATTTGGAACCTGCAGTATGTGGAGATTTTACTTCTCCTGGTCATATATCCTTCTACCAGCTGTCTTGCTAACTGCACAGGTCAGAGATCAGGAAGCAAGTTTGGTAGAGGTGAACACTACACCAGAGACCATACAGAGAGAGGTCTTGGGAGAGTGGCTCCTGCTCAAAATGCCAAGTATAATTTTAGAGTCGAGGATGGGGATGGACTACTGAGACAGTATTACAATCTACATGTTTATGCTGCTTTAAAATGTTTCAAACCTTTTCATCTATATTAATTCATTCTCATGCTGTTCCTAAGAGGATTGTCAGTTGAGTAAACTGGAGTATGTAAAGAAGGTTAATGACTTACACTCCTATTAATGAGGAGCATAAGCCTGTCCCAACTTATTTCCAATTTTTTGAAGATTCTTAAGATATTTGTTGTCAAAAAGATCTTTAGGGAACAGAGGTTTAAAGTGATGAAAAAACTATCACCCTCCAGGTGAAGGTCACTCAAAGAAATTTAAAACAAAACAACAACAAAAAAAACTATCACCTGCGGATTCCCAATTCATAAGCAAGATGAATTCTAGAAATTCAAGAGTATGCATAAGGACAAGTGTAGGGAAGATTGGGCTGGGCATGGTGGCTCATGCCTATAATCCCAGCACTTTGGGAAGCCAAGGCAGGTGGATCACTTGAGGTCAGGAGTTTGAGACCAGCCTGGGCAACAAGGTAAAACACTGTTTCTACTAAAAATATAAAAATTGGCTGGGTGTGGTGGTGGGTGTCTGTGATCCTAGCCACTTGGGAGGCTGAGGCAGGAGAATCACTTGAACCCAGGAGGTGGAGGTTGCAGTGAGCTGAAATCATGCCACTGCACTTCAGCCTGGGAGACAGAGCAAGACTCCATCTCAAAAAAAAAAAAAAGAATTATGACTGGTCTGGGCTAACAATTGTCCTTCTCTTTCTTAGGATGCACCCATTGATGTTTCTTTTGTAGGTGAAGAACAAGAATTAGTTCACAGGTAATGAACATTTGGAGGTTTGTTTTTAAAAGGGTGGGAGAGAGGTCATCACACACCAGGAATCCAGCAGTTGCACAGCCACGGATAGTTCATGTAATGGTCACTTTTCTTCTTTGGACCACCAACCCCAGACACTAAGAAAAACAATTTTCTAGAATATTTTCAGCCCATTCTAATGAAATTGTTTTTCTTAGTGTCTGGTTTTTCAGTCATTATAAGCTTGAAGATTAGTTGCTGGAGTAGGGTAGGGGCAAAGTGGGTTATGTCTTTTGTTTCTACGGAAAACTTCAATATCACATAAAATTAACTTATGTTTAATAATCCCTTTTATAGCAGCTCTCTTAAAGTATCTTTACATATAAGCTCATTAATGCTTTCATTGACTGGGCTTAAGAAACAGTAAGGATAGATATAGAGAACCCTAGCTACCCCCACTCTCCCACCAATAAAAGAGGCTTCTTGCTTACTAGGAATATAAAAGAGTAAATAGGAATCCCCTTTGTTTGATTTGAAAAGCTTTGATTTAAAAATACTTTAAAAGTGTTTGTTTTTCTTTCTATGTAGACCAGGAATGGTTTGCTTTCGAGAACACTGGCAGAAGAACCTTACTGATGCCAAATATGATTTCATGGAGGCATTCCCCTCCATATTTGATCGTGTCTGATTCTTACAGAATGTCTTAGGCTTTTCTAATCAGGTTATATTAAGAAGACAATACAGCACATCAAACCACATTAATATTTATTAATAAACTTGTGGCACACAATCCAGCTGTATTTTTTTGCATTCATTTTCCATTCTGCAACCTCCATCACATTAGCAGAGTAACCAGTAAGCTGTTTTCTAAGATACTTTTTTCCATCACTGTATGCATCACTTCTGAGTCTTACAGGTACAGCTGCATTTAGAGAGTTGATAAAATTCACCTATCGGACCAAACTAAGACTGGTACTTGGCTGTTTGTTCTCCATCTGAGCCTAAGTCTCCACTCAGACACATCTCTTATGGGCACAACTGGGAACAACAAAATGGCAACAGTTCTACAGCTCATAATATAACCAGTCTGAAGGGTTCCCCTACTCACAGACCCCTTTGTTTACTGTGAGTTAAGCCTCACTGCTAAATAATGTATTTTGAAACTGGAAAACCAGGCATGCTGCCTTCCATAATATACCACTATACTCATGATGGCAGGAGGGTGGCTTGAGGACTAGGGGCAATGACACAGGATGGATTCAATCATCACCCTTACTTATCTCTGATCTTCTTCCCATCCTCACACCAAATAGTCACTTGTTCCTACCTTCCCTGTAAACCTCTCTTGCCTGGCTGCAAAATTTTAAGACACCAAAGACAAAATTACGTTATGCTCTGAGTGATGACTTACAAGTACATCAGAATATTTATTTATACAGAAAAGCACTGGAAAGGAGGAACACAAAATAAGAAAGACAACTGACACAGTACTGAAATTTTTCTTTTCTTTTACTGCTATATTTGTACAATAAATAAAAAAGGAGGGAAAACCCTATCAGAGCAATGGGCAAGGAGGTGGCAAACTAGGTAAGTCTCCTTGGAGAACAAAAAATATATTTAAAATACAATAGCCCTACAACTGATTTATGGCTCAGGTGACTAAACACAATTTGAAGCAGTAACAACACTCATGAGCTGAAAATAAAATACATTTAGCCTTTTCATTCTTCCTGCCTCTTTCCCAAAAATAGGCCATTGAAGCTGTTCTTGATATCACAATATTCAAACATCACAAAATTTCTGCATTTAAACTACCTTGCCTACTGAATCATTCTGTCTCTAGGAACGTAACCAAGAAAAAACAAAGAGAATAAATTTTTTTTTTTTGAGACAGAGTCTTGCACTGTTGCCTGGGGTTGGAGTGCAGTGGCATGATCTCAGCTCACTGCAACCTTGGCCTCCTGCCTCAACCTCCTGAGTAGCTGGGATTATTCAAGCAATTCTCCTGCCTCAGCCTCCCGAGTAGGTGGGATTATAGGCGCCTGCCACAATGTGCAGCTAATTTTTTTTTTTTAAAGATGGGGTTTCACCATGATGGCTAGGCTGGTCTTGAACTCCTGACCTCAGGTGATCCACCCACCTTGGCCTCCCAAAGTGCTAAGATTACAGGCGTAAGCCACCATGTCCAGCCAATTTTTTGTATTTTTAGTAGAAACGGTGTTTCACTATGTTCGCCAGGCTGGTCTCAAACACCTGACCTTGTAATCCACCAGCCTGGTCCTCCCAAAGTGCTGGGATTACAGGTGTGAGCCACCATGCCCAGCCGAGAATAAAATTTGTAAGTGGGTATTACAAAATTCAGGTTTTATTATACAGGGAAGTAGATGGATTGAGACTCAAAACTCTGGGAACTAGTTTGTTTTTAACTTTTGGAAATTATAGATTTATTAGGCTAGGCAGCAACTATGATTAGGTATAAATAAACAAATAATTTCAAATTCAGAGGTCATAAATGTTGCTACATGCTGACTCTTTAGTTCAGTAGTTGTAAGTTAAAAGTAGACATTTCCTGGAACATATATTTAATAGTATTTAAGACTGTTAATACCATTTAGTAATAAAACTTTTGGCTGGGTGTGGTGACTCATGCCTATAATCCCAGCATTTTGGGAGGCTGAGGCAGGTGGAATGCTTAAACTCAAGAGTTCAAGACCAGCCTGGGCAACAAGGTGAAACTCTGTCTCTACTAAAAATAAAAAAATTAGCTGGGCATGGTGGTGTGTGCTGGTAGTCCCAGCTGCTTGGGAGGCTGAGGTGGAGGATCACTTGAGCCAGGGAGACAGAGGCTACAATGAGCCAAGATCGCACCACTGCACTCTAGTCTGGGTGACAGAGGGAGACCCTGTCTCAAATAGTAACAATACAACTTTTACTCTATACTTTGAAATATGACTGCCTTATTTAAATACTTTTGAAAAACAACCACTTAAAAATATAAGGCAAGAGGGCATTTTATAACAGTATAATCAGAATTTTCTTATCACCCAGGTAATTTAAATTTACCATAGGCATGTAATAATAATGCAGATCAAACAACCTTAACAAAAATGGCCAGTCATGGCAGCTCACAGCTGTAATCCCAGCATTTTGGGAGGCTGAGGTGGGCAGATCACTTGAGGTCAGGAGTTTGAGACCAGCCTGGCCAAGATGGCAAAACCCCATCTCTACTGAAAATACAAAAATCAGCCGGGCATGGTGGCGAATGCCTGTAATCACAGCTACTCGGGAGGCTGAGGTGGGAGGATCACTTGAACCCAGGAGGTGGAGGTTGCAGAGAGCTGAGATTGTACCACTGCACTCTAGCCTGAGTGACAGTGAGACTCTGTCTCAAAAAACAAAAAACAGAAAACCAACGTTAACAAAAACAGCCAAAACTTCCAGGGTTCCCTCCCCAATTCACTCTTCTGATCTAATTAAAACTGAACAAAATAAGCGAATGAAAAAGATCATGAAATCATAGTCCCACAACTTTCCATTTCTTCCCAACTTAAAAAGTAATAAAGTAAGGAGGTTCTATACATTAAGGATTAAACTGATGACAGATGTTAAAAAAATAAACTGAAAGGTTTAACAACGTTTTAAAATGAAATCTGCTTAGTACATAAAACACAGTTAAAAATATTTAATATCATTTTAGTTTCATCCTTATAAAACAGTTAAGCTAAAATACTGACTCATTATATTTTTCCTTATCAGAACTCTTGACCATAGTTGACTCCTATTCTTTTTGATGTTATCCTATCCTCAAACTCAGATCAGCTCAGGTTGAAATAAAGTACTTAAATGGGCATAAGAGTAGACTTCTCAAGACTTTATATTTGAAAGAACCATTTTTAAGTAACTTATTAAGAATTTTAAAAAGCTAATGTTCATATTTCAATTCAAAAAGTCTGTGAGTTCGTTTGCTTTTTGGTGTGTTTGTTAATTTTAGAGTGGAGGTAGGGACTTAAAATCTATTATTTTCAGGACAGATCACATATTGTAGTATACAAGTCAGTTTTCAAATTCCAGATTTGCTTTTTGCAGCAATGCCGTCATTTTGTTAACAAAAGTGGACCCCCATACGTTTCTATGAAGTCCATTTATAACACATTCAACACAGAGGAGTGATAATTTCCCAAAAGTTCAGTTGGGGTAGAGGTGGGGGTGGGGCAGGCATCACATATAGCTAACGGTAGCAGTGTTTCATGGTGTGAGACTGAAGTTTCTCATCTCACTAACACTTTTTGTCCATGCCACCTCCTCCAATACAGAATTGTACTCATAATTTGGATTTTTTTTTTTTTTTGAGATGGAGTTTCGCTCTTGTCACCCAGGCTGGAGTGCAGTGGTACAATCTCAGCTCACTGTAACCTCTGCCTCCAGGATTCAAGCCATTCTCCTGCCTTAGCCTCCCAAGTAGCTGGGATTACAGACGCCCACCACCACGCCTGGCTAATTTTTGTATTTTTTTGGTAGAGATAGGGTTTCACCATGTTGGCCAGGTTGGTCTTAAACTCCTGACCTCAGGTGATCCACCCACCTCAGCCTCTCAAAGTGCTGGGATTAACAGGTGTGAGCCGCCGCACCCAGTTCATAATTTGGATTTTTATTTTTTTATTTTATTTATTATTTTTTTTTTTGAGACGGAGTTTTGCTCGTTACCCAGGCTAGAGTGCAATGGCGCGATCTCAGCTCACCACAACCTCTACCTCCTGGGTTCAGGCAATTCTCCTGCCTCAGCCTCCTGAGTAGCTGGGATTACAGGCACGCGCCACCATGCCCGGCTAATTTTTTGTATTTTTAGTAGAGACGGGGTTCACCATGTTGACCAGGATGGTCTCCATCTCTTGACCTCATGATACACCCGCCTCGGCCTCCCAAAGTGCTGGGATTATAGGCTTGAGCCACCGTGCCCGGCCTAATTTGGATTTTTAAACCAGAAAGTTATTATGGTCAATCCAAAATAACCCAAAGAACTTGTTAAAGTTCTATCAATAAGCAGCTTTTTACTGAAGGACTGAAAGAATTAAATAGAAGGCACAGTAGCAATGTAAAGCTTTCTCAGAGCATGACAATCTTTTTGTATGTATGTGTGGAAACCAGACTTTCGTTTTTGTTGTTAAAAGTGTCTTCTGGACAATCAAAAAATCCTTATTTGTCATCTTTCCCTTTGGTCTTTCTGTAAACCATTTCTCGAAAACTGGCCAGAATCTTGTTCTCTCTCTTTCGTCTCTCTTCTTGGTTAAAGGATGCAAGGGCTCTCTTCTCATCAGCACTATAGATCTGGTTTTCTTTTCGTAGTCGCACAGCCTCCATTCGGCGATGCCTGGAGAGAATTTTATTTTTGGCTTAATTTCTCAGAGAATTTATTTTGGCTTAATTATTTTAATAGTATATCCTCATTAATCCTTTCTTAGTACAGAGTGGCCTATTTAAGAGCTGACAAATAAAAACTATTTTTTGAAATGAGTTAAATTTCCAAAAGATCGCTTATTAACATTTTAGCTGCCTGGCACGTCCTTTTTTTTTTTTTTAGATGGACTCTTGCTCTGTCCCCCAGGCTGGAGTGGGATGGCATGATCCTGGTTCACTGAAACCTTCACCTCCCAGGTGGAGTGATTCCCCCACCTCAGCCTCTTTCCTGAGTAGCTAGGACTACAGGTGGCTACCAGCAGGCCCAGCTAATTTTTGTATTTTTAGTAGAGATAGGGTTTCACCATGTTGGCTAAGCTGATCTCGAACTTCTGACCTCAAGTCATCTGCCCACCTCAGCCTCCCAAAGTGGTGGGATTACAGGCGTGAGCCACCGTGCCTGGCCCTGACATGTCCTTTGATCATTTCCAGTATTCAAATTATGATCTCTGATTTCCTGTCAACATAGTAAATGTTATCCTTTTTTCCTTTCCTTTTTTTTTGAGATGTAGTCTGGTTCTGTCACCCAGGCAGGAGTGCAGTGATGCTATCTCGGCTCACTGGGACCTCAGCCTCCTGGGCTCAAGCAATTCCCCCACCTCAGCCTCCGGAGTAACTGGGACTATAGGCATGTGTCACCATCACCAGCTAACTTTTGTATTTTTAGTAGAGATGGGGTTTCGCCATGTTGGCCAGGCTGGTCTCGAACTCCTGATCTCAAGTGATCCACCTGCCTTGGCCTCCTGAAGTCCTGGGATTACAGGTGTGAGCCATCGCATCTGGCTGCTATCATTAATTTCAAATACTGGCCAGGCATGGTGGCTCATGCTTGTAATCCCAGCACTTTGGGAGGCTGAGGCGGACGGATCACCTGAGGTCAGTAGAGTTCAAGACCAGCTTGACCAACATGGAGAAACCCCGTCTCTACTAAAAATACAAAATTAGCTGGGCATGTAGCACATGCCTGTAATCCCAGCTACTCAGGAGGTTGAGGCAGGAGAATTGCCTGAACCTGGGAGGCAGAGGTGGTGATGAGCCGAGATTGCGCCACTGCACTCCAGCCTGGGCAACAAGAGTGAAACTCCATATCAAAAAAAAAAAAAATTTCTAATACTGAGGTTATACGCCTAATTTGTTTCCAGTAAAGCAACTAGAAATGGGCAAATTATTAAACTTCCTAGGTGATATATCCATTTGCCTTTGTGGAACTGATAGTAGGATAGATAAAAGATTTATGTTGTCATTGATCAGGTGGAACTTCCTTTAAGGTTCTAATTTACCATATAACCAAAAGAATCAAGTCTAGGCTGGGCATGGTGGCTCACACCTGTAATCCCAGCACTTTGGGAGGCTGAGGTGGGCAGATCGCCAGACATCAGGAGTTCGAGACCAGCCTGGCCAACGTGGTGAAAACCCATCTCTACTAAAAATATAAAAATTAGCTGGGCTTGGTGGCAGGCGCCTGTAATCCCAGCTACTCAGAAGGCTGAGGCTGGAGAATTGCTTGAACCCGGGAGGTAGAGGTTGCAGTGAGCCAAGATGGTGCCACTGTACTGCAGCCTGGGAGACAAGAGTGAAACTCCATCTAAAAAAAAAAAAAAAGAACCAAGTCTAAATCTATAAATGAAGAGCAGTTTTTGGTCAGTGGATTTAACTTCCAAGTCTCCCTCTGTCACCCAGGCTGGAGTGTGCAGTGGTGCAATCTTGGTTTACTGCAACCTCCGCCTCCCAGGTTCAACTGATTCTCCTGCCTCAGCCTCCTGAGTAGCTAGGATTACAGGCCTCGCTGCCACACCTGGCTCCTTTTTATATTTTTAATAGAGATGGGGTTTCGCCATGTTGGCCAGGCTGGTCTTGAACTCCTGGCCTCAAATGAATCGCCTGCCTTGGCCTCCCAAAGTGCTTGGAGTACAGGCCTGAGCCACCATGCCCAACTGCTGCATTGATTTAAAAAAAAAAAATTTTCTTTTTTAAATTGTTGGCTCTGAGTATGGATGCTGCATTGCTTTTTATATTTGGTGATATAGGGTCCTACTTTCATCTTTTTCCATATGAATAACCATTTCTTTCCTATTTCACTTGATGAATGGTTCTTTCTTTCCCCATTGATCTGACATGCTCTTTCATACACTGAAGTTCCATACATGTATGGTGTCTTTGGGCTCTGAATTTTATTTTTATTTGTATATTTTTTGAGACAGAGTTGCATTCTTGTTGCCCAGGCTAGAGTGCAATGGCGAGAGCTCGGCTCATTGCAATCTCCACCTCCTGGGTTCAAGGGATTCTCCTGCCTTAGCCTCCCAAGTAGCTGGGATTACAGGTACCTGCCACCAGGCCTGGCTAATTTTTGTATTTTTAGTAGTGATGGGGTTTCATAATGTTGGTCAGGCTGGTCTTGAACTCCTGACCTCAGGTGATCCACCTGCTTCAGCTGCCCAAAGTGTTGGGATTACAGGCGCAAGCCACTATGCCTGGCCTGACTTTTATTCCATTGAACTATTCAGTTGTTCTCCAATGCTTTCTAAAGTGCTGTAAGCTTCATAATAGGTCCTCCTATCTCGTAGGGGAAATGTTACTTTCCTGCTTTTCTTCTGCAGGAGTGACTTGGCTATTCTTGTCCTTTTAGTCTAACATATACATTTTAGAACTGGATTATTAAGTTTAATGAAAAACTGTGCTGTGATTTTGATTGGAACTGTATTGAATATACAGATCAGTTTGGGAAGAACTGACAGCTTTACAATATTGCTTTCCTATCCATGAACCTAGTATCTCTCCAGTTATTTAAGTTTTCTTTAATCTTACCTTCTTGCTCTTCTTCTTCAGAAGGAACCTAGCTCTTCTTGTCCTTTTAGTCTAACATACAAATTTTAGAACCGGCTTAGTAAGTTTCATGAAAAACTGTGTTGTGATTTTGATTGGAACTGTATTGAATATACAGACTATTCATGTTTTACATTTCCCCCATAGAACCTTGGGCATCTTTTGTTAAGATTTATTCTTAAGTCCTTTATATTCTGACACTGTTATAAATGTTTTCTTCTTATTTAGTGGCACTTTCTAGTTTTCTGTTGTTGTTAAATAGAAATGCATTTCATTTTTAATGGAACTGTATTGAATATACATTTCCTAGTTGTCTGTTGCTGGTAAGTAGAAATGCAATGGATTTTTGTGTATTAACCTTATATCTAGGCATTTGTCAAACCCTCCTCTATTTATAATTCTTCTGAAGATTCTTTGGGATTTTCCATGTAAACAATCAAATCATTCACAATGTCATTCACAAAAATGACACTGTTATATCATCCTTTCCAATCCTTATTATTATTTTCAGACCAAGTCTTGCTCTGTCACCCAGGCTGGAATGCAGAGTTGCAATCTTGGCTCATTACAACCTCCGCCTCCTGGGTTCAAGCAATTCTTCTGCCTCAACCTCCCAAGTAGCTGGGATTACAGGCACGTACCACCACATCTGGCTAATATTTGTGTTTTTGGTAGAGATGGGGTTTCGCCATGTTGCCCAGGCTATTCCAACTCCTGGGCTCAAGCGATCCACCTGCCTTGGCCTCCCAAAGTGCTGGGATGACAGGCATGAGACACCATGCCCAGCCTTCCTTTCCAACCCTTATGCCTCTAATTTATTTTTCTTGCCTTACTGTGTGGGTCCTCCAATGCAATGCTTCAAATATTGGTCCTCAGAATTCCAAGATTCTGGAGGTGCTTTAGGATTTCTGCAAATATTTGCCCTCAATGTCATTTAAAAATAGTTATCTACTTTAAAAAGTTTATCAAATTTTAAAGAATCCAAAATTCAATTTGATCTAAGTACTGCCACCCTATTAGCTTATTCTCCTGGTTCTTCCTGGTACTTTTTGCTTTTCTAATTTTATATTCCTTTTCTCATACTGAATCCAATGTCCTTTAAAGATTTATTTATTATCCAGAACATGTTCTCAGCTGACCAATGTCTTTTATCATCTTTCTCTGTTATTTAGTCTCAGAAATCTGGGTCCATAAATAACTGGAGACAAACTTGTAACCAGGAAACACTGTCTTGTGAAAATATTTTTCTAATTGCCACATTCCTCATGGGGCAGTGATAAATAGCTGAATTTAACTACATCCTCCAGTGGATAAAATATCTGTACCTAAAAATCAACTAGGAAAGGACACTGGAAAGATTGATTCTTTGAAGTCAGAGCTATAGCTGAGTTTGAGGCCGAGTTGCATATATACTTGGAATTTCAGAAAACCATGTTATACCAACAAAACTAATATCAAACCAATATTTATACTCTACTTTTCATAAGAAACAGTCACTTAATAAAAATCAATTACCAAAATATAATTCTGGTAGTAAATAAGAAGAAAAAGATCTAATCACGGAAACTGAGCTTAATGCCAAGAACATACCTGCTACCGCTCATTACATAACCTGAGCATTCAAATGATGCAATTTCTTCACTTGTCAAGCCAATTTCACCTCTTCGTGGGATACGTTTTCCAGCTTTTACATATTCAGCCATAGCTGCACCTTCACCAGGTAATAGGGCATGGCCATAGCTACAAAGTAATTCAGAATTCACGAAAGGTCCATTAAATTATTTTAATATTAAAAGCTCATAATCTAAAGAGAACAAAAATAAACCCCACATTTTCTCTCAGACAAGAGTAGGAGTAACAGTGATCAGCAGTAGTGTGCTAGGAAGCTCAATGTGAATTACTTTGTCCTAATTAGTGTATAAACATTGTACTGCACTATGACCTATACAACTAATCCAGAAATGCAGAGATATTCTGAAAGAAAAGAACTGATGTGAGTGTAGATTCATGGTTTATAATTATGGATTTATCCCTACAGGCATTGCCATTACTGGTTCTGCCTCCAGCTGATTCCCTTTCCCTTTTTCCCTTAAAAAATCCAAAGTATGCCAGGCATAGTAGCTGACGCCTGTAATCCCAGAACTTTGGGAGGCTGAGGCAGGTGGATCACTTGAGGTCAGGAGTTCGAGACCAGTCTGGCCAACATGGCGAAACCCCACCTCTACTAAAAATACAAAAATTAGCCGGGTGTGGTGGTGGGCATCTGTAATCCTGGCTACTCGGGAGGCTGAGGCAGGAGAATCGCTTGAACCTGGGAGGTGAAGGTTGCAGTGAGTCAAGGTCATGCCACTGCACTCTAGCCTGGGAGACAGAGCGAAACTCGATCATGCTGCTGTCTTTCAGCCTGGGAGATAGAGCGAGACTCCATCTCAAAAAAAAAAAAAAAATTCTAGGCAGGGCATGGTGGTTCATGCCTGTAATCCCAGCACTTTGGGAGGCGGAGGCAGGCAGATCACAAGGTCAGGGGTTTGAGACCAGCCTGACCAACTTGTGAAACCCTGTCTCTATTGAAAATACAAAAAAATTAGTCAGGTGTGGTGGCACATGCCTGTAATCCCAGCTACTCAGGAGGCTGAGGCAGGAGAATTGCTTGAACCTGGGAGGCGGAGGTTGCAGTAAGCCAAGACTGCACCACTGCACTCTAGCCTGGGTGTCAGAATGAGACTGTCTCAAAAAAAAAAAAATTCTGCTGATAAAAAAAATAAGAGAAAGGGCCAGGCACGGTGGCTCAAGCCTGTAATCCCAGCACTTTGGGCGGCCGAGGAGGGTGTATCACGAGGTCAAGAGATCGAGACCATCCTGGTCAACATGGTGAAACCCCGTCTCTCCTAAAAATACAAAAAAAATTAGCTGGACATGGTGACGCATGCCTGTAATCCCAGCTACTCAGGAGGCTGAGGCAGGAGAATTGGCTGAACCCAGGAGGCGGAGGTTGCGGTGAGCAGAGATCACGCCATCGCACTCCAGCCTGGGTAACAAGAGCGAAACTCCGTCTCAAAAAATAAATAAATAAATAAGAGAAAAAGGAATACAAATTTCTGTGAAGATTAAGGAGAACCAGAAATCACACCTACTTGTGGAGGGGAAGTATTGGGAATCAGCATATGCATCTCCTTTTGAAAAGGGCTCTGAAGGATAGCAAGGATTTTAACAGGAAGAAACTGGGGATAGGGAAGAAAATAGAGGGCAGGGAAAAAAAGGGAAGGTATACTGGAGGAAGAAACAAGCTGAACATGGCATAAAAGTTGGAAAGTGCACAGTAAGCACAGGGAGTATATAGTAGTCCAGCTCAGCTGGAATCTGCAGTAGAAATAAGGGAATAGAGTGAGATAAGCTTGGCAAGGTTAAGTTAGAACCAGACTTTTTGGAAGGTACTTTAGATATTATAAATACACTGCTACTCACTTCAAAGGTTTATCATCTTGAGAGGTAAGTGTTTTTGGAGCCTCTGGGCCAATTAAATCTGAAGGTTCTTCAGTCTCTGCATGAAAGATATTAAGGAACACATTCACATTCTGACTAATTGGTTACTTTAATGTTGAGTTAAAGTCTATCAGAAGAACCTACTTGTTCGATCCTTCCAGGGATTCTCCAGAAACTCTTCTTGGGATTCCTTAGAGCTTGAATCACTGGACTCTTTTCTGCTCTTCTTAGACCTCTTTTTCTTATATTTCTTCCTACAGGGATTATAATTTGATACAAATTCACTTTATCCTCCTATGTTAGAGGGCATCTTAATTTTTCTCATTTTTCTATTTAAATTTTGAACTGGTGACTATACATCTTAATTTTTCAAGGCAAAGAAAGGTGACAATAAAATGATCTGAATTCCCAGCTTATTCAAACTTGCTAGATAATTTTACTTAAAAAAATCTAACTTATCCTGGGAAACATAGTAAGACCCTGTCTCTACAAAAATTAAAAAAAAAAATTAGCTGGGTGTGGTGGCACACACCTGTAGTCCAATCTACTCAGGAGGCTGAGGTGGGAGGATCACTTGAGCCCAGGAGTTCAAGGTTGCAATAAGCTATGATTGGCCCACTGCACTCCAGCCTGGGCAACAGAATGAGACAGTCTCTAAACAATTTGTTTCTAAAAATTCTAACTTATTTAAATAAATCATCTTTTCTTATAAAAATTATTACTAGGCCGTGCACAGTGGCTCATGCCTGTAATCCCAGCACTTTGGGAGGCTGAGGTGGGTAGATCACAAGGTCAAGAGATTTAGACCATCCTGGCCAACATGGTAAAACCCCATCTCTACTAAAAATACAAAAATTAGCTGGGCATGGTGGCGGGCACCTGTAGTCCCAGCTACTCAGGAGGCTGAGTCAAAAGAATCACTTGAACCTGGGAGGCGGAGGCTGCAATGAGCCGAGATCGCACCACTGCACTCCAGCCTGGTGACAGAGCAAGACTCCATCTTAAAAAGGGCAACAAAAAAATTATCACTAAAGGAGGCTGGGTAAGGTGTTTCACCCCTGTAATCCCAGCACTTTGGGTGGCTGAGGCGAGTGGGTCACTTGAGCCCAGGAGTTAGAAACTAGCCTGGGCAACATGACGAAATCCTGTCTCTACAAAAAATAGAAAAATTAGCCAGGTGTGGTGGCACACGCCAATAGTCCCAGGTATGGGGGAGGTAGGAGCAGAGGTGGGAGGATGGCTTGATCCTGGAAGGTCCAAGTTGTAGTGAGCTGTGATCCTGCCACTGCAATCCAGCCTGGGTGACAGGGTGAGACACTGTCTCAAAAAAAAGAAAAAAAAAACCACTAAAGGGAACAAGGAAATACAATTCTCATGTTGTAGAAAGCAGAAATAAAACAGCCTAAAAAGTCTCAACAATTTGAGCATTACAAATAATTTTATGTGTAATGAATTAAAATATGTCAAATATGTTTAAATCTGTGGGTTCATAATGATACTTTAAAAAAATCCAATTCATTATTTGAAAAGTCATAAAACAAACAAAATTGTCCTGCTCTTACTTTATAAACTATATTTCAGGGTATTTAAATAGTTGATGAGGGTAAGTTTCTCTTATAGAATTATTCTGCCTAATAAATGAAGGATAAAGCCAGGATTAGACTATCACCATTTTACAACCCCTAATGAAATAATGGATTGAGATAATGACCATCAATAGCTGTTAATAAGACAAAAAGGGATAACCAGACATTATATGCCTCCTGATAGTACCACCACCTTCACAGCACCACCTATGGAGACTCAAATCTGAACCTTGTCAGGCCTCTAGACCTGGCAATCTACCGGAAATACAGAGGACAGAGAACATGCCAAAGAATTCCATAAGAATAAAATCACTGCAAGTTATGGACATCATTTGGATCCTGATTGGAATAAACTATAAAAAAAAAACTGCTGAGAATTGAGGAATTATTATTATAAAATGTTTTAGGCATGATAATAGCATTGTGATTATGGGTTTTTTTTTTTTTTTTTTTTTTAAATATAGAGACAGCATCTCGCTATGTTGCCCAGGCTGGTATTGAACTCCTGGGCTCACGTGATCCTCCTGCCTGGACTCCTAAAGTGCTGGGATTACAGATATGCGCCACTGTGTCTGGCCAGTTTTTTGTTTTGTTTTAAAGAATACCTATCTTTTAGAGAAAGGTACTGAACTGCTTATGGATGGAATGATATCTGAGATTGATTCAAAAATAAATGATGGATGGTAGATATTGCCCATCATTTGATAATTATTTAGACAGCATGATGGATACAGGAGGGATCATTATACTATTTTACGTAATTTTATATACGTTTGAAATTTTCTGGCTGGGTGCAGTGGCTCATGCCAGTAATCCCAGCACTTTGGGACTCCAAGGTGGGAGGATTCCTTGAGGTCAGGAGTTCCAAACCAGCCTGGCCAACGTGGTGAAACTCCATCTCTACTAAAGTAAACACAAAAATTAGCTAGGCGTGGTGGTGGGTGCCTGTAATCCCAGCTACTTGGGAGGCTGAGATATGAGAATTGATTGAACCAGGGAGGCGGAGGTTGCTGTGAGCCGAGACCACACCACTGCACTCCAGTCTGAGCAACAGAGTAAGACTCTGTCTCAAAAGAAAAAAAAAGAAATTTTCTATAATAAAACTTAAAAAACTGACGATCTGTGTTTCCTCTTCTTTTCCTTTTTCTTGGCTTTCTTTGCTCTCCTTTTGTTATTTTCATCTGCAAATTAAAGCACAGTACAATTAAGAAAAAAAAATTTTAACTCTAAAACCGTAGTACTTTTGAGTAGGTAACTAATCTATTACTGTCCCATTTATTATTGCAAAGAAATTACCTCATTGGAATATTTATTGCTATTTGTCAGGAACTGTAAGAGGTAGTATAAACATAGAAATTAAAGTCACTAGGTATTTGGTGATATAGGGTATTATTATTAATTTTATTGTGTGACATAGTGTTGTGGTTAAGTAGGAAAATGCCTCTCTTTAGGAGATGCATACAGGGTGGAAGTGTGATGATATTTGTAATTGAGTTTGAATATCTCAGCAAAAAGCCCATATTTTGAAGTAAATATGTAAAAATACTAGCAACCACCAAATCTAGGTGATAAGCATATGGTATTAATTATACTATTCTCTTCACTTTTCTCAATATTTAAACATGTTCATGATAAAAAGGAAAAGAAAACTATGTGTGTGTTGGAGGTGGGAGAGAGAATGCTTTCCAGGAGCTCAGGCTAATGGAGGAGACAGATAGGTAAAGAGATCAATACAGACTGGAGTGATAGACAGCTTGGGGAGCCTAGACACACAGAGGAGTCTTAAAATCAGACTGATGTGGGGAGGGAGGTTGAGGAATGGTTGACCAGGAAAGGTTACTCTTAAAGTAGTTCTTTGATTACAAAAGTACAGAAGTATGCCCACTGGTGAAATGAGTAAATGAAGCTGGGTGGAGGGAGGGACTGGCATTGCAGGCAGAGGGCCTCTCTGTCAAGCAACAATTAAGAGAAAAAACGGGGAATACTAAGCAGACAGAAAGTAGTTTTAAGATTACAGAGGATGGTGCAAGAGAGTGTAACAGGGTATATGTGATTAGAGAGAGGTGAGTCAGGGTCTGAACTTTACCCTGAAGGCTATGGATTGCTATTGAAGGATTTTAAGTAGGCATTCGGTGATATAGGGTACTATTACTAATTTCATTGTGTGAGACAGTGTTGTAGTTAAGTATAAAAATGTCTCTTAAGGGATGCATACAGAAATATTTGGAAGTTCTGTCTTCCAGAACTGAGGAAGAGAAGTGATAGGGATGGCCAGGAAACCTGGTTGATATCAGAGGAAGGTGAACCTTTGCGTAATGCTAACCCCTGAGGAGGCACCTTCTGGTCAATCATCAGCCAGGAGACAGTACAAAAAGGAGACTATTTGCGATGCACTATCCCAGATAGGGTGCCTTCCACAAATCAGCAGCCGGCATGAAGGGGGCACTTTATGGCATACCTTTTTGAAAAGTATACAGAGGTGCTCGTTGGGCATGAGAATTACATAAAAGAGCCCTTCCACTGGGCTAATGCAGCCCTGTAAGGCTTACTTTGGTACAGCCCAGCCCCCTGACTTGGTCTGGTGGCACATGCCTTCTACAACTATGCACATCCAATCTGGAGTCAGATCGCTTAGGTTTGAATCCCAACTGTGTGACCTTGGGGATAGTACTTAAAACCTGCTCTGTGTCCACTTCCTCATCTGTAAGATGTACCTTACAGCTATTGTATGAATTAAATGGCAATAATGAATATAAAGCATTTAACGGGATGCCTGGCACAAGGTTAGCAAGCATTCAAAAACTCTTCAGTGCTACTATTATTTTCAGGAACCTTCTTCTAAAATAAGTTTTAAGAAGTAAAACTAGTTTTGAAGCAAGGCTTGCAGAATGCTGTTGGCTTTCTTACCACTGGAGTCTGTTTCAGAATCAGAGTCACTGTCGCTATCTTCAGAATACTTCTTGTGTTTTCTTTTTGATGATTTTTTCTTTCTCCTTTTCTTGAACCTTTCTTTTGAATGGCTAGACTTCTTCTTCTTCTTTCTTTCTTCTAAGAAAATACAAATAAAAAATTATATTCTAAAAAATTATTTCTGAACATCAAAAGAAAAAGATGATGGGCAATTTGAGTAAAAGCAAAGTCTAATGTTCAACTATTTACAAACTGGTATTTTAGGCGGGGCACAGTGGCTCATACCTGTAATCCCAGCACTTTGGGAGGCTGAGGTAGGTGGATCACGAGGTCAGGAGTTCAAGATCAGCCTGACCAACATGGTGAAACTCATCTCTACTAAAAACTCAGAAATTATCTGGGCGTGGCTTGAGCCTATAATCCCAGCTACTCAGGAGGCTGAGGCAGGAGAATTGCTTGAACCTGGGAGGCAGAGGTTGCAGTGAGCCAAGATTGCGCCACTGCACTGCAGCCTGGGCAACAAAGCAAGACTCCATCTCAAAAAACAAACAAAACCCAAAAAAACCCGGATTTTTTTTAAATCCCTCAAAAAAATAGCTCTGTATTTCAAAATACCCTCTGGGTTTTTTTTCTCTTTCTTTTTTTTTTTTTTAATTTTAAATACCTTCTGAAGTAGAAGCTGAAGTAGTGCTTTTCTTTGGCTCTTCATCCTCTACTGGTGTATGTTCATCAGAACTGAATTTAAATAAATGGTTATAAGAATTAGGAAAGTGATGAGACATGGACCATGGCGTGTAAAAACACGAACCCCAAATTTTTCAGTAACAGCACTGACTGTCCAAGAACCATTAAAAGCAAGCATTGGAGATCCTGAGGCAGAACTTGGGAATCAAAACAACAACAACAACCACAAAGCAAGCACTGAACTACTTTTGAAAACATGGAGTTCAAGGGTCTACTGCCTTTGTAACAATAACATAACTTATCATTTGTATAATACTTCAGTGTTTACAGAGTGCTATTTAAACAAAGCAGCATGGAGGATTTAGATTTTCAGAAGAAACCACAGGGAAAAAGTAGAGAAACAAGAACCATAAGGAAAGATTAAAGAAACTGGATATAAGAAGGTTGAAAAAAGACTTCACAATTTTATTCTAAGCACGTAAAAGACAAATGGTAAAGCAGCAACTGTTCTGTCTCCTCAGAGCAAGAACCTAACAAACTACAGTCTAAAGAGATTTTGATTTGCTGCAGAGAACTGTAAAAATGAGTATTATTCAAATTCTACAATAGTTTAGAAAAGGAGTTTCCACATCATATAATCTTTTCCTCTGAAGATCACACTTGCAGTAATTTAAATATTGTCTAGAAAATTATTTTTAGAGTTCCTTCCAACTCCAATTCAATGCATTCAGGTTCTTCAAGCATTTTCCTTTTTTTATTTTAAACAGAGACGGGGTCTCGCTATGTTCCCCAGGCTGGTCTTGAACTCCTGAGCTCAAGGAATCCACCTGCCTTGGCCTCCCAAAGTGCTAGGATTACATGCATGAGCCATTACATCTGGCCTTTTCAAGCATTTTCTAAATGTATCTGTAAGAACAGGTTTCAGGCTGGGCACAGTGACTCAAGCCTGTAATTTCAGCACTTTGGGAGGCTGAGGTGGGCAGATCACGAAGTTAGGAGTTCGAGACCAGCATGGCCAACATGATGAAATCCCATCTCTACTAAAAATACAAAAATTAGCTGTGTGTGGTGGTGCATGCCTGTAGTCCCAGCTACTAGGGAGGCTGAGGCAGGAGAACTGCCTGAACCCGGGAGGCGGAGGTTGCAGTGAGCTGAGATTGCACCACTGTACTCCGGCCTAGAAACAGAAAAAGACTCTGTCTCAAAAAAAAAAAAAAAAAAAAAAAAAAAAAAAAAAAAAAAAAAAAAAAAAAAAAGAAGAAGAAGAAGAAGTTTCACATAGTAATGCTTTATGATCCAGTCATAAATTACAGGTTTACCTGTGAAGCACATTGTCTCAACCTAAAGTTGGCACAGAAATAGAGGAGAGTGAAGAATAACTTATGAGTAGCATCAGAGAAAAGAAATAAGAAAAAAGAAAAAAGCATGAAGCCTGCAGATAGTATTGGATATAGGAATATTAACTAAAAAAAACCATATTAGTACATTCATTTTAAAAAGTTTATTTGTAGGCTGGGTGTGGCGGCTCACACCTGTAATCCCAGTACTTTGGGAGCCTGAAGTGAGTGGATCACGAGGTCAGGAGTTCGAGACCAGCCTAGCCAACATGGTAAAACCCCGTCTCTACTAAAAATACAAAAATTAGCTGGCATGGTGGCAGGCGCCTGTAAGCTACTCAGGAGGCTGAGGCAGGAGAATCACTTGAACCTGCAAGGCGGAGGTTTTGGTGAGCCAAGACTGCACCATTGTACTCCAGCCTGGGCAACAGAGCGAGACTCCATCTCAAAAAAAAAAAAATTTCTTTTTAAGGCTAACATCTGGCATGCAATCTGCTACTTAGTTGAGAAAAAACAATTTAAAATAATAGGTGTATTATTTAACAATGAACCTTTCTATTAATGGGAAATTCATACCCCCTGAATTATTTTAGATTATGCTAAAATCTACTAGCAACATGTTTTAATCTTTACATATGTTCTATGTTTTTAAAACTTAAGGGGTAGAAGAACATAAATCACAAGAAAGAAGAAAAATATGAGATATATTTAAAGTTCTTTACTTAAACATTTTGACAATACACTCAATTTAAACACGTTATAACATTTTAAAAAGATATTTTTAAATCACTTACTCTGGTTCAGGATTCTTTGGAGAAAGTCCCCATACTTCAGGAGCTCCCAATTCTCCAATTCTCTCTCTCTCACTTAATCTCCTAGCAGATAAAGACATGTAAATTATAACTAAATGGCTGAGTTATTTCCTAAATATATAATCCAATTTAATAGGAGTCTACTTAAGCATTTCTTCCCCTTACATTTTGAACATGAATAAAAACTTGGTTTAAATAAACTCATCACTTAAGGTCTGATGTTCTGATGACACTATCAAATGGTACAGACTACAGAAGTGATGGTCTGGGTGACTGTCAAGTACATCCTTCTGCTGAATGGATGACTTAGCTCTTAACTGCTTATTTCATCGTCTGTAATATGTGACGGAAACAGTTTCACATTTAGAAATAACTTCATTTGTTTACAGATTTATGAAAGGTGAAGAGAAGTCTCGTTTGATTTGGTCAAACCTTCGATTTTCAGAAACCAAGGAATTAATGAAGAAAATATAAATGATGCATTAGGCATAGAAAACAACTGAAGTTCTGAAAATGAAAGAACAGCTTTTTTTTTTCCTTCCCGAGATAGAATCTTGCTTTGTTGCCCAGACTGGAGTGCAGTGGTTCAATCTTGGCTCACTGCAACCTCCACCTAACCGGGTTCAAGCAGTTCTCCAACCTCAGCCTCCTGAGTAGCTGGGATTACAGGCACGTGGCACCACACCTAATTTTGGTATTCTTAATAGAGACAGGGTTTTACCATGTTGACCAGGCTGGTCTTAAACTCTTGACCTCATGATCCACCCACCTTGGCCTCCCAAAGTGCTGGGATTATAGGCATGAGCCACCGCACCCAGCTGGAAAAAAAAATGTTTTTTATTTTTTGTAGAGATGAGGTCTTGCTTTGTTGCTCTGGCTAGTCTCGAACTCCTGGCTTCAAGCAATCCTTCCACCTCAGCCTCCCAAAGCACTGGGATTACAGACATGAGCCACTGCACCTAGTCAAAAAGTTTTATTTAACAAAAACTATACTCAGGGCAAGGCACAGTGGCTCATACCTGTAATTTCAGCACTTTGGGAGGCCAAGGTCGGTGGATCACCTGAGATTAAGAGTTTGAGACCAACCTGGCCAACATGGTGAAACCCTGTCTCTACTAAAAAAAATACAATTAGCTGGATGTGGTGGCATGCACCTGTAGTCCCAGCTATTCAGGAGGCTGAGGCTAGAGAATCCCTTGAACCCGAGAGGTGGAGGCTGCAGTGAGCCAAGACCATGCCACTGCACTCCAGCCTGTGTGACACAGCAAAACTCTGTCTCAAAAAAAAACCCCAAAAAACAACAACAAAAGAACTATACTCAGTGAGATACAAGGTTGTTCCCTCTTAGTCCCTTTTTGGAAAAGGAGTGCATTTTCTATCTATTCTCTGAAGGACACTAAGCTTTATTTGTTTTATGCCTGTGTTTTCTTGTTTTAATGTTTGCTATTACTCATAAACTAAAAACAAAACAAAACAAAGACTAAGGCTAATCCCCTCAAAGTTTAGCTGCTTTTGATTCCTTTTTTTTTTTTTTTTTTTTGAGACAGAATTTCGCCCTTTTTGCCTAGGCTAGAGTGCAATGGCATAATCTTTGCTCACTGCAACCTCTATCCCACAGTTTCAAGAAATTCTCTTGCCTCAGCCTCCTGAGTAGCTGGGATTAAAGGCACCCATCACCACACCCAGCTAATTTCTGTATTTTTAGTAGAGACAAGGTTTCACTATGTTGGCCAGGCTGGTCTTGAACTCCTTACCTCAGGTGATCCGCCCGCCTCAGCCTCCCAAAGTGCTGGGATTACAGCACTGGGTGTGAGCCACCTCCTCCGGCGACTCCATTTGTTTTTTAAAATACTTACAAAATAAATATAATTGGAATGAGTGTTTGAATAAATTGTTTTTGCTTCCTTAATCAGGGGAAAGGTATAACTATGCAGAGTAAGACTGAGAGGGTTTCTTGCCTGAAGTAACAGACAATCTAAAAGGTGACATACTTATAGCTGTACTTGGAATTTATGGATATGGGGGGAGGAAGGTCTACCGGACTGTTAACAGCAGGAAGTCCTGTTGTCATACCTGTTGCCCCCTGGCTTCATCTGTATTGTTAAGATAAATTATTGGCAGGGCAAAGTGGCTCATGCCTGCAATCCCAGTACTTTAGGAGGCTGAGGCAGGCAGACCACCTGAGGTCAGGAGTTCAAGACCAGCCTAGCCAACATAGCAAAACCCTATTTCTACTAAAAATACAAAATTTAGCTGGGTGTGGTGGCACATGCCTGTGATCCCAGCTGTTCAGGAGGCTGAGGCAGGAGAATCACTTGAACCCGGGAGGCGGAGGTTGTGGTGAGCCGAGATCACACCACTGCATTCCAGCCTGGGAGACAGAGTGAGACTCCATCTTAAAAAACAAAACAAAACAGATAAATTATTTATTTTCTAAATGTACCTATGCAAGTTTCATCCAAGCAATTCTGACATCTTTTGGTGAGGATTCTGTAAGAAGAAACCATTTACTTTTTGACTGACATAGCCTGTGGATACTTTTCTGAAAAATTTTCTTTGGAGATAGAGGTCTCCAACCTAACTCAGGACTGTTTTTACTGTTTTTGCTCCCATGCATGAAACATTAATAGCTAACACTAATGCAATAGTTATTATGTTCCAGGCACCTAATTATTACAATCCCCAAATCCTTAGTACTTATTTTATCCCCTTTTTAATGATGAAGAAATGGAGCTCAGAGACATTAAGTAACTTGACCACGGTCACACAGCTATTAAGTGGCAAATAAGGGCTTCATACTCAGTCTGATTCTGGAGCTTGTCCTTTTTCTTTCTTTTTTTTTGAAACAGGATCTCCATCACCCAAGCTGGAGTGCAGTGGTAAGATCATGGCTCACTGCAGCCTGACCTCTCCTGCTCAAGTGATCTCCCACTTCAGCCTCCCTAGTAGCTGGAACTACAAGCACGTGCCACCATGCCCAGCTAATTAAAAAAATTTTCTTTGTAGAGACCAGGTATCCCTATATTGCCCAGGCTGGTCTTGAACTCCTAGATTCAAGTGATCCTCCTGCCTTGGCCTCCTAAAGTGTTGGGATTACAGGCATGAACCTCTGCACCCAGCCAAAAATGCATAGTTTTAAGGAGAAAGGAAAAGGTTCATAATTATTGCTGTGTAAGTCTTAATGTCTTATGTTTTCTAATTGTTAAATTATGTGTCAGGCACTGTATTAAGTTATTTATGTGCACTTACATGCTTAAAATGAGAAAATTAGAAATATTACAGGCATTGAGGGGCAGGTTAAAGCTCCAACAGTTGGGAGAAGTCTTGATTCTTCCGGCAGCGGGAGGTAATGAAGTATAGTGATGAAAAGGACAGGCTCGGCCAGGCATGTGGTCACACCTGTAATCCCAGCAATTTGGGAGGCCAAGGGAGGAGGATCACTTGAGCCCAGGAATTTGACACCAGCCTGGGCAACAGGGTGAAACCCTGTCTCTACCAAAAAATACAAAAATAAGCCGGGTGTGGTGGTGCACACCTATAGTCTCAGCTACAGGACTATAGGAGCCCAAGGAGGCTGAGGCTCCAGTGAGCTAAGATCGCACCACTGCACTCCAGACTGGGCAACAGAGCTAGACCCTGTCTCAAAAACAAAACAAAACCACCCCCAAACTATGCATTCTTCCACTCCAATATTCACTTTCATTAGAGGTCTAATCTCATCTTGACATCATTTTTTTGTGGTTAAGATTCAGACCACTTAACAAGACTTTTCAAGGTAGGGTTATCTATCAGACTCCAAAAATGAGCTTATCAGATCACTTTTCCTACAGGCATCTAATCGTCTTGTCTGAGGGGAAGGTTTATTTCCTATCCAACTTAAACCCTTGATTTCATCCCTTCCTAATTTCCCACAAAACACTTCTACATATATATCTTGTTATCTCAGACCTGTGAGTTCCTTCATTCAACAAGCAATGGTTGAGCGCCTATTAAGTTCTAGGCACGTAGAAATCTGTGATCAGAACTCTCCTCCGATCACAGGCTCCTCCATGAGCTCAGTCTAGTAGGGAATACAAATATGTTCACGAATGATAATGACACAACCAAGGAAATGCTACAATTTTGGTAGGTCTGAGGCTGTCAGCATTATCTGCTAACAAGACTGGAGGCGGAAGAGGGTAGCGGGAGAATAGGGTACCATATGAAGGAGCCCGAGGGTAAGGGAAAATGTAACGGGAGAAAAGGACGAATAAAGGGTTGTCATGGGTGGATTAAAGAAAGGAATGAAAATGGGCGCAAGGCAAGGAGAGCGAGCGAAACGCGAATAGTCAGAAGCGGAATGAATGATAGATCGGACTCCAAAGGCACGTAGGCTCGTCCAAGAGAAAGTTCGGCGGTCTCACTCACTTCTGCCGCAGGCTCTCCTCCCTCTCCTTGTCGAGGAGGCTAGGCCAAGGCTTGTCGCTCCCGTAGGGGCGCGAGTAGCTGCCATAATAGACTGACGAGGAGGCAGAAGCGAAGGGGATGCCCCGGGGCGCAGAGGGCCGCTCTCGAGAACGCGACCGCGAGCGTGAGCGGTAGGATTGGTTTCGGGAGCCTTGGCTGAGGGCACCTAGCTGATGGTTGAGTCCATTCCGGTCCCCGGACCGAGAGCAAGAGTGCGAGCGAGAGCGGCGGCCCCGCGGGGAGCGGGCAGATTTGCTGGGCTTCGGACTCTTCGACGAACTGCGACGTCTTCCTCCCGAACCCGAGACCTCCCCATCCGGGCTGCGCGAGCCGGACACCGGAGCCATTGCTACTGGGGGAGCCCAGCAGCCGTGGGAGAAGGGGGCCCTCTCGCGAGCCTAGAAAGAGCTCTGTTTCCTTGGTTCCCGGGACCCGCCGCTGCGAAACACCCACAATCCTGAGGAAACCTTGCAAACAGTTCCCGGTACGTCTGCAAAACCCTTCCCCGGACCTACGCATGCGTCGCCGACCGGAAGCGATATGTGTATCGCTATAAATAAGCCGGTGGGGCAACTAGATTGCATGCATCCTTCCAGTTCCGAGTGAGGCTCCTCAAGTCTAAGAGACCAAATCCTTTCTCAGCCTTGAACTTGAAACACCTGAAAAGAAGTATATTTCATTGAGTATATATTTATTTCTTTTTTTTTTTGAGACCGAGTCTCGCTCTGTTGCCCAGGCTGGAGTGCAATGGCGCGGTTTCGGCTCAGTGCAACCTCCGTCTCCCAGGTTCTAGCGATTCTCCTGCCTCAGCCTCCCGAGTAGCTGAGATTACAGGCACCTACCACCATGCCCGGCTAATTTTTGTATTTTTGGTAGAGACGGGGTTTCACCATGTTGGCCAGGATGGTCTCGAACTTCTGACCTCATGATCCGCCCGCCTAGGCCTCCCAAAGTGCTGGGATTACAGGCATGAGCCACCGCGCCAGCCTAGTATATTATTTCAAACACAGTATATGGTATACATTTCAATGAGTGGCTGTATGAACAACAGTTAATTCTGCTTGTGTTTTATGTGCTTTCTGTGTGTAATTATATATAAATGTGTGTGTGTGTCATGTATGAAAGTATGAATGTGTCTGCGCGAGGTGGCTCACGCCTATAATCCCAGCACTTTGGGAGGCCGAGGCAGGCAGATCACAAGGTCAGGAGTTCGAGACTAGCCTGACCAACATGGTGAACCCCCGTCTCTACTAAAAATACAAAAATTAGCCGGGCGTGGTGGCGCGTGCCTGTAATCCAAAGTACTTGGAAGGCTGCTGAGGCAGGAGAATCTCTTGAACCCGGGAGGCGGAGGTTGCAGTGAGCTGAGATCATACATTGCACTCCAGCCTGGAGACCGAGCGAGACTCCATCTCAAACAAAACTAAACGAAAGTATGAATGTAAATTTTCTATTTTTTCCAATACCAAGCAAATGAGGGTTTTTTGTGACTGGGGATGAGCTATGTTGTCTAAGCCCATATTGCCCTGTTTGCTTAAATGGCGCAAATTTTGTTAATGACTTGTGCCTGATAAACGCCAATTAAGTTTCCGGCCTAGAGAACAAAAACTGCATACTTATCCCTTAGCCACCTCTCTCTACCAATATGCCCCAGCAAAAGGAGGTTTTTGGTTTTTTTGTTTGTTTTGTTTTTGAGACTGGGACTCACTCTGTTGCTCAGTGTGGAGTACAGTGGCCGAATCTCGGCTCACTGCAAACCTCCGCCTCCTGGGCTCAAGCAATCCTCCCACCTCAGCCTCCTGAGTAGCTGGGACTACAGGCGCCTGCGACACCAAGCCCGGTTAATTTTTTTTTTTGAGGTGGGTGGGGGAGAGACAGGGTTTCACCTTGTTGCCCAGGCTGATCTCAAACTCCTGGGCTCAAGCGATCCACTAGCTTTGGCCTCCTGAAGCGCTGGGATTATAGGTGTGAGCCACTGGTCTGGCCTGTATTTTTTTCCCCAAAAAGTGTTATTTAATTTTTAAATTTTTGAGGCAGGGTCTCACTCTGTCACCCAGGCTGGAGTGCAGTGGCACGATCTCGGCTCACTGCAACCTCCGCCTCCCAGTTCAAGCGATTCCCCTGCCTCAGCCTCCTAAGTAGCTGAGACTACAGGCCGCGCCAGCAAGCCCAGCTAGTTTTTTGTATTTTAGAAGAGCCAAGGTTTCACCATATTGGCCAGGATGGTCTTGATCTCCCGACCTCGTGATCTACCTGACTCGGCCTCCCAAAGTGCTGGGATTACAGACATGAGCCATCGCGCCTGGCTCAGAGCCATTTGTGCAGCACTGGCTACCTCTCAGAGGATGCCCTATTCACAGCTTCCCTTTACTAAATAGCTCCCTAAAAGTGAACATCAGCTCTGCGCCCAGTCATTGCCATGGGTTTCTTTCTCACCTAGGTTTCCACAGCCTCCTTTTCCACTTCTGATTTTAAAACATCTTTTGTTTCATCTTTTTTCCCTTGTTCAAAAAAGAAATGGACAGAGATTCTTCCTTGCTTTCTACCTTGCCTCCATTTTTTTTCTTAATCCAGAATTCTTGGGCCTAGCATTGGAAAAAGTCATGCTCCAAATCTGCATGTCTCATAGTGGCCCTAATTTTGTCTGGGATGAGTCTAGGCAAATCAGTTATGGTGCCTATGCCTGAATGTCACCACTTCAATCTTCTGTGTCTTTTGATTGTGAAAGTAAGAGCATGTGTATGAGGCATCTTCTATATTCCTAGAATCTAAAATACTAGCATATACATGTTAGGAATTCACACATTCACTTTAAGATCTACCCTTTGGCTGGATGTGGTAGCTCATGCCTGTAATTCCAGCACTTTGGAAGGCTAAGGTAGGAGGATTGCTTGAGGCCAGGAGTTTGAAACCAGCCTGGGTAACAAACTGAGACCTAGTCTCTACAAAAAATAATTTTTAAAAGATGTACACTTTGTATGGGGGAACCCAGCCCATTGGTGTATAGATGATAATTAAATTTTGTTTATACCATTGTGTTACCAGAAGAGGGTGTCCAGGTTCCTGGGTTTTGAACAAAGAATTGGACAAAACACAGAAACAAAGCAATGAAACAAGCCACAAAAGCAGAGATGTATTGAAAACGAAAGTACAGTCCACAAGGTGAAGCAGACCCAAGCAGCTGCTGAAGGGCCCAGTTACAGAATATTCGCTGGTCCAAGTACCCCCTAGAGGTTTTCCATTGGCAACTTGGTGCTCACTTTATGTAAATGAAGTGGTGGCATGCAATTAGTCTGATTGGTCGCAGAGAGCAAAAAAAGAGACAATCAGAGATACTTTCAATTTCCCATCTGCCAGTGCAGAAAAGATGGGGGTTTGCAAAGGGAGTAGCCACTTGTCCTTTTGTTATTTAGGCATGGAAAGTTAGAGTTTTCCTTTTAATTTAGCTCTAGGAAGTCAGTGTGAAATGGCCTTAGTTTGGAAACTGTCATGAAGACCGTACCTTAAAGAAGGGGACTACAAAATGACAGCTGATGACAGGGGATCATTCCAGGCCAAATGGGGCCAGACCAAAGGAAGGCTAAAGCAGAGGAGGCATGGGTGGTGTAGGCAGCCTGGGCCATGGTGGCTCCAGAAGAGCCCATCTCCAATAGGGCTCTGGATCAAGGAGGACATGATAAGGCTCATCCAAGATTATGCCTACCCATTGCCCAGGGGGACAGGGCCACTGCCATGTTATTTGGAATATTAATTAATGTCCCCTGACATCTCCTCTACTTGACCCTTCTATTTTTAACGCAAACCTTCAGTCAGAGGTTTTATAAAGAGGTCGGTTTAGTATATTGAACAATTAATATCATAAGGAAAACAAACCCACAACATGTAACTCTATACCATTGGCATTTTAAACTCCACAGGGAGAAGCTGTTTCCTTACTGGTAAACTATTTTAGGAAAGTTAATGCTGTACTCCCTTCTCTTCAGTTCTGTTTTGGACTATGCTTATTGATTTGTCTCTCTTCTCCCATTTTCATTTTCTTTAAGGGTGTTTTCCCAGCTCCTGCATGTGAGTCTAGTGGACACATGTCACTCTGTACCTGCTGTTAACGCTGTGCTTGGTAACAGGACGAAGAAATATCAGTATCCTGATAGTGAACCATCGGGGTGTCCAGCTGCCTCTGCTGCCTCACTTCATAGTGTCATCCTGGTTGTGGGGGATAGTTGAGCAAGGCATAAGGTGGGCCCCATTTGCAGTTACATGGAGGGGAATGGCCCCTCCATTTGCGAAGCTAATCTTCAGTCTGAAGTAACTAAATCAATAGGAGCAGGTTAGAATTTTAATCAGGTTTCCTCAAGGATGTCTAAGGGGCCATTTATCCTCTGAAAACTCTTCAGAGTGAACAAGACAGACTGGAAAGAAAAGGCTTGGTCATAGGGGGCCCAGGAGTTTGTGGCTTATCTAGCTGAGACAGAAGAGTCCTGATGCTGTGACTATTACCTTGCTATTTTAGCTGCAGAGTTGAGGAAAATTGGGCTAACTAGGTCTAAATTCACTAAAAGTCAGCTGCACCAGTTCTGTAGCTCCTTTCCATCACGGCACTCACACGAACTGCAGAGCGAGGCTCCTAACCTCATCCTGGAGTTTGTTTTTGTTTTTGAAAATTATATCTTAATAAAACCTAAGTAATCTTAGTCATGCTTTGATCCCATGACTTACAAGTTAATCATCACTGCATGGGAAAATAAACAAGCATTTCAAATTAGCACAGGTAAGAATCTCCTCTAAATTGAGCATGCTCCCACAAATTAAGTTTCATAAATCCACTTCTTTAAAACTGTACCACTAGCAGGGAGTGGTGGCTCATGCCTGTAATCCAGCACTTTGGAAGGCTGAGGCCAGTGGATCACCTGAGGGCAGGCATTCAAAACCAGCCTGGGCAACATTGTAAAATCCCATCTCTACTAAAAATACAAAACTTAGCTGGGCATGGTGGCAGGCACCTGTAATCCCAGCTACTTGGGAGGCTGAGGCAGGAGAATTGCTTGAACTCGGGAGGCAGGAGGTTGCAGTGAGCCATGATCATGCCACTGCACCCCAGCCTGGGCCACAGAGCAAGACTTCATCTCAAAAAATGAAAACAAAAACAAAAACAAACAAACAAACAGAACATTGTACCACCTAAAACAGTTGTTAGAAATTCCTCAAGAGAATATTACCTCATAAAGTTCAATTTGTGCTGTATCTTCAAGGTATATATTTGCGTGTACCCAATTCTTTAACCTTTTCACCCTTCTTAGGGGAGTGCAATCTTATTCAAAATTGCTCTTGTTTTTTCTAATTTTTAGGCAGATTTCCAGTTTGCAAACCTGCCCCCCACACCTTCACTGTAATGTGAATATATTAGCACTGTATTCAGGCTTACAAATTGAAGTAATCCAGAAATTTAAAAATGAGGGCTGACACTTTCTAAATGGCTTCATCAGACCCTTAAAAACAACAGCAGGAACACCAGGC